TTTTTAGATCAGCATCCAGACGGGTAAAAAGTTAGGGAAATGGAAAAGGTTGTACCTTGGCTCAAAAAAGGTTAAAAAACACTGACATAGACCCTCAAAGAAGTGAGAAGATGTCTGTAAATGTGAGTCTGTTTGCTGAGAGGTGGAGGAGGTTTGGTCTGTTGGATCATTCCCCACAGGGAGGAGAAAGAGAGGGAGGGAAGAAGAGAGGGAGGAGGGATGGAGGGATGGAGGGATGGAGAGAAAGAGCCTGAGGAGAGACCACAGGGAGGCAGAGGACCGGAGGAAGAATCCAAACTTAAACTCGAACCATGGCGGATTTTTCGGGCACCTGGAAGATGAAGAGCAGCGAGAACTTCGACGAGCTGCTGAAAGCTATGGGTGAGTTCCGACTTTTTCCTGTTTTCCTGTTCCACCAAGATGCTTTTTAGATGTTTCAGATGATTCAGATGTTCTGTTTATTGCACATAAAAGCAGGATGCAGGTCAGGTCTGAGTTTTCTGCACTAGTCCTGAGTAGGTGTCCAGATTTCAGACCCAAATCCAGGCGTCCTTTGAATTCCCTGAAAAGTTAAAGACTCACGTTACCATTTTATATACTTTAACCCTTTAAAGCCTGATCCAAGAAAAATAGGAAAAATACTGGATTTTTTTTAGTCTGAAGCCTTTCTTTGGCCCCTCAACAACATATGAAGAAAAAAAACGGAAATTATTTTGATCAAATTAGCGTGCAATAATTCAAAAATATATTTTCATGTAGTCTTCTACTGGCTATTATCAGGTATATCTGAAAATATAGTAATATAGTAATATCTAAAGAAATAGGAAGAATATTGGATAATGGATAAATATTACATATTTATTATAACCCTTTAAAGCCTGATCCAAGAAAAAAAGGAAGATTTTTTTGGATTTCTTTTAGTCTGAAGTCTTTCTTTGGCCCCTCAACAACATATGGAGGAAAAAAACTGAAATTATTTTGATCAAATTAGCGTGCAATAAGTCAAAAATATATTTTCATATGGTCTTCTACTGGCTGTTATCAGATATATCTGAAAATATAGTAATATAGTAATATCTAAAGAAATAGGAAGAATATTGTATTTTTTTAGTCTGAAGTCTTTCTTTGGCCCCTCAACAACACATGAAGAAAAAAAACAGAAATATTTTTGATCAAATTAGCGTGCAATAAGTCAAAAATATATGTTGGTGTAGTTTTCTACTGGCTGTTATCAGGTATATCTGAATGTGTACAACAGGGGTTTGAGCAAAGCTTTTACCACTGAATGATGCAGAAAGTCTCAGATCCAAAAGACTTCAGAAACCAGATCAAATCAAATATGACACATTTGGCATTATAGGGTTAATAATATATACTTATGCATCCATTTTCAGCTCAAAGCTGCAGGTTTGGTTACGTTTGAGTTCCATTTGAAAGGATTTGCAGACGATAATTGAGCCCGTCGGTGAGAATAATGGAAGCAGAAGGAGGTTTTCACTCTTCTGATTGTTTGTCCAGTTCCTGCCTATCGGAGGGTTTTTCCAGAATTAATCACAGACTTAAACAAAGCAGAATCCACATTCACATTCCACCCTGTCATCGCCTCCCTCCACGTTTCCAACATCTGCTGATAACAATCTCTTCCAGCTGCCGTCGGAGCCCCGACAAAGTTAGAAACAACCACCTTTAAAGGGGACATATTATGTAAAACCAAGTTTTTAATGGTTTGATTGTGTACATTTGGGACTGTGGAGGGCCTATCAGCAGGCAAAGTGTGAAAAAACATGACTGGGTCATGTTTTTGTGGGCCGCCTCAGTCTGAATCCAGGAGATAAATCAGGAGGTTTCAGGAGTGGGTAGTTTCTGACCTCATTAGCTCTAGCTCATTATAATATTATTATTATTATAATATTAATATTATTATATATTATCTAGCTCATTATAATATTCCAGCCTTTCACCTGCATGTTGCCCCCCCCCCTCAGCTCACTCCCCTATCTGTGGAGACGTCCTGGTAGCGTGAGCGTTAGCATGGTAGCGTTAGCATGGTAGCGTTAGCACGGTAGCGTTAACATGGTAGCGTTAGCGTGGTAAAGTTAGCGCGGTAGCGTCGGCGCGGTAGCGTAGGCATGGTAGCGTTAGCGTGGTAGCGTTAGCGTGGTAGCGTAAGCGTGGTAGCGTTAGCGTGGTAGCGTTAGCATGGTAGCGTTAGCACGGTAGCGTTAGCACGGTAGCGTTAGCACGGTAGCGTCAGCGTGGTAGCGTCAGCGTGGTAAAGTTAGCATGGTAGCGTTAGCATGGTAGCATTAGCATGCTAGCGTTAGCGTGCTAGCGTTAGCGTGCCGACGTGGGCACACCTCCCTGAAGAAGTGGGTGGATTGCCTGTGTCTCATTTGCATTTAAAGAGACAGGCACTCCAAAGCGAGCGCTCTGAACGGGGCTGTTTTGGGTTAGGGTTAGGGTTAGGGTTAGGGTTAGGGTTAGGCAGGGGGACTGAACTGCTATTGGGCTTCATCCTTATGGGATTTTGACCAAAGCTTGTCACAGACAT